CCCATTAAAAAAAAAGAAATTGAAAACACAAGAGACTAATTTTTGAGTACGAGAAAAAAAGAGGGAGGAGAAACAAGAAGTGCTGTTTTGTTTTCTTTTCTTTCGTATCGAATAGAACTGTACAATACATTTGTCATAGAGTTTAATGAATTTTTCTTCTATGTGAAATTATATTCGATGAGGTAAGCTGGAACTTAAGACATATAAACGAATGTATACTAATTGTGTTTGATAATAGATATTTATCGAGAGAATTTTATTTAAATTTTATACTGTCATTTAAAAGACAACAAGAAAAATATCTTAATCTTCAATTTCTTTTTTTTTAATGGGTGGTATATAAATCATAGACATTTCAATATTTTGAATTCATCTCGAGCGTATTTCACTATATTGGAATATCTTCTAATGTTCTACAAAACGGTGTCTATATACTAACTAAAAAACTTTAAAATAAAGATACAAATTTTTGATAAATCATGGAAGATTTCATTTGTCTTATTTTTTAATTCATCTTTTGATATTTCAAATTGTTTTTTTCTTTTTTAATTTTCCGTTTGATAACGTTTTATACTATGAGACCATAACTCGTTCAGTGACACAATTTAATATTATATTCTTAAAAAGAGAATGTGACTGATGAAGTATGCAATGGCCTACAAATAAATGTTATTCAAGAATGTATAAAAAAAAAACGATTTCTCGCTTATTTTTTTTTCAAGCAGAATGTGACGAAAATCATTGAAAGGTTTTGAAAAGAACGATTGTTTATGAAAGGTACAACCTGAAGCGATTTTCTCATGTATGTACCGTTATTTCAATAACTGGGCATAATAAACTTTTTTGATAGTGAATTTTAAAAAACTACACTGAGAATCATAAAAGCAATTCCTTGGATACTCTAAACTTCTTTTAATAATGAAATTGTCATTGCTATTATTCGTAGTAAAAAAGAAAACATTATTTATTTTGTTAACTATTACTTGTTCTATGATTGTTCTTGAAATGTCGCGATTCATTAACAACTTAATTGCAATATTTGAAAAATCGACAAAAGTAACACTTATTTTGATGACATGGGAAATCATACTTTAAAATGTTATATATGAGCAAGATTTTATCCAATAATTGAACTGAATTAGAAAAGAAGAAATATACAAAAAGAAAATTATCGAAGATATTCATATTAATGAGATAATTACTTGCGTTTTAGTATAGAAATTTCATTAAATTTTACTGACAATTCATTCAAACGAAAAAAATAAACTTTTAAGTTATATTCTTGATAGTCGGTATACCAGCGGATGATTTCTCGGTAGTTGTCGGATAGATAATCAAATCAGTAGAAAAAAAATAGTAGTTTGATCAAAATTATTATACAATTAGATAAAGGAATAAATTACTTTTGTAATCATTTTATAAGGAATGAAGATTTTTTTTATAATTTTCAAATAGGATCGATTTCGGTAGCGAATTCATCACTATCATTAGTCCTTTGAACTGTCAAGATGTGTATGACAAATGAAATGGTTAGAGATATTGTAAAAGAATTTTTTCAGTTTAATTATGAGAATTCCATAATAGATCAAATAAGAAATATCTTTGTAAAAATATCTCGTCTACAATTGTCAAAGAGTACAAAAGAAAAAACAAATCACACCAGAAATATCTTCACGTATATTTATCAGTTATGTTCTGTTACTTATATTCTCTATGCTTTACTATTGTCATCTATCATTTTCTAGCGAATACTAAGATACGAAAATTTAATTTTCTATAATTTTGAATTTATTTATAAAGGGTCAATGAAAACATTGTATTTGTATATAGAATATAATTTTTTAGTATTTCATATTGAAATGAAAAACAAAAATAAATAGATAGAAAGGGCCGATATTCACTTTTTTACCATCGCATTTTAATGTTGATTATTTCAAATAATGAGGATAGATATTTTTCTTTGTCTTGCATAACTTATATTATTATTCAGATACAAATAGTAAATATTGACATAGTCTGTACTCATAAGACAATAAAAATTTCGCCATTATTGAATATCTGTTTATTTGTCTGATATTATAAACTGATTTTTCTAACAGCAATAGATTCTTATTGATATTTTGTTTTTTAAACAGGTTTCAACTGGTGCTCATTTCTGTAAAGCTGTCGTTACATCCTGGTAATGTTCAATCATATGATCTTTGATTTGCTTTGAATATATCGATGTGTATATCGGATTGACTTATAAAAAATTCGTTGAAGTTTTCTTTCTATGTCGATGTCTTTTGATTATCTGGAAAAAAAATAAAATAAAATTTCAGTACACGTCTCGCATTGCCACATATGTCATATATCTTCCTGATGCCTCCATGATCAATAAAATTTCACATAAATTCATCAAAATATTAAGTTGCATAACTTACTTCTTTTTGATACTTACATTCACATTGAACTGTCTTAAAAGAATAGATTTTTTTTTGAAAAGAGTTACTTAAAAAATAAATAAATTTTTATATCAAATATTTCTTTGGGAATATTAATACTGTTGGACTGAAAGTCCGTATGAGCAAGCTAAATATTTTTTTCTTTACTAGTTTTAATTGAGAAATAAGATGAAGCATCGAATCTTTTAAAATATATCTATTGAAATTGAAAAATGAATTAAACTGAAACTTATCAATCTTTTTATCATTTACAAGAAAAGTTGGCTTATGTTCGTGATAATATAAACGTTATTTATTTCAATATGAAATAAAATACAACGAATTTTTTAGAACAATCGTGGTTTGTTAACTATCGATAGTTGAATTATCAAATAGAGATGTAATCAAATATTTCATCGCTAGTTATTGTCTCTCTTTGAACGATTTTAACCACCTCAATTTATACTGAAACAAATATTCATTTTTGTACGTCATATGAAATGAATATCATTGACCAAATGAGGGTTTTTTTGCTTCTTTGACGTCATTCATCGTCTTCTCTTTCGACGAATGTTTTAATGATGCTATGTGCACGCCTCGTCATAGAATACTTCTTTGATAAGAATTTTATAAGAACAACAAACAAAAGGAGGCAAACATAGATAGCAATGAAAGATAAAGGCTTAAAAGACTGCGACAGGCTGATACGAATTATTCATATAAAAATATGTTAACAGTGTAAGACGCAAAAACTTTCAATCAACAACAACACACAATTGAAATTATCCAGACAGATTTTGCTTCAAGTACTGGATCGTGGTGAAGAAATTATTAGGAAGGTTAGAAAAGCAAAAGAAATTACTTTGAATGTTATATACTTAGCACCAAGACATTGCAAACAGTCTACCTTTCTTTTTATCCCAGTCTATCCATCAATTTCAGTTATGAAAAAGATTAAAAAAACCAAAATCAATATAGTCTAACTGCGAATTTAACGAGAGTACGCATAAGAAAGACACGAATACAATGGTAAACTTTGAGTGTAGGTAAGAGTAATGGTAGAATAGCTTCTGCTCACAAATAAATCTCCACTGATGAGGATCAGGGTGCGACTGTGGGTGTGGTTGCTCTTCTTCTTTCAGACATACCCATATTCACACACCCACGCCTACACCCTCCGTACAAATATAACATGTATATAGGAGGTTGGACGCGAATTGAACTGTGAGTCTAAGTATGGATGCCGTGGTGAGTGCTGGTTTGGGCGTGTCTGTCGATATTCTTAACGGTGGTCATGCGGGTGAGGAGGTTGATCATCATGAAGCATAGTGCCTGTCTTCAACTACTCAGCTAGTTACACTTATGCCCACGTACCCATGCTAATACCCAAATCCAAACGTCATTCATCATATCCCCGCCCGAACCCTAACACCACAAATACGGTCGAAGTCACCAGCCGCTCCACTTGCACACCACATCAACACACGTGCTGTCCATATCCATCCTACACATTGATTGAGTCATATTTGAGATATTCGAACGAGATTCGATTTGAATCATGGCATGAATTTATTTCTTTATAAATATTTATATGAATCCATTTTAGATCGAATTTACTTGAAATACTTTCATAAATTATATAATTTCAGTGATTTTCTTCTAAGACAAATGGCGACAGTAAATGAGTCAAATCTATGCTCAGTCTGCAATAAACCTTCAGCAAGACGCTTCTGTATTGGATGTAAAAAATATTTTTGCCCGAAGGATTTCAAAGAACACGAACAACAATTATTGATAAAATTCGACAATGAAATCGTTAGGTCACACGATGAAGTTCTTGATCAAATACAAAAATTAGAAAAATCGAATTATTTATTATTAGATCTTTCTGATCAAATTGAAAAATGGAAAAATACAACAATCAGCAAAGTAAGAAGAGCAGCAGAAAAAGCTCAACGTGATCTTATTGAATTAATTGATAAACAAAGAACAACAATAATAAAACAACTTGAACCAATTACCAACGAAATTCGTTGTCGTCAAGAAGAAGAAAATTTTGTTGAAAACGATATCGATGAACTTAGACAAAAAATCAATGAAATTCAAGAAAATCTTGAACGATTTACTCAAAAAGATACCACTAAAACCATTAGTATTAAGAATGATCAAATTGATTGGAATCGACTCATTTATATTCGAGAAGAACAACAAAACCGTGAGTATATTTACACTAAGAATATAGAAGTAAAGAAATGGCTAAACGAATCAATCAAATACTTTTTTTATCATTCATAGATTAAAGGTTACTTCAATAGGCGCACAATCTTCAATAAAACTGAATTAAATGTCATTTGAAACTTACCATTTTGACACGACTGAGCAGATTTTCATCCGAAATAAAAAATATTTAACTTTCTGAAATTTAATTTCGAATTTTAATAGAAATTATTTCTTTAAAACGACAGAATACTAAATCAGGTTTCATTTTAAGGAAAAGTTCTACTGTGAAACATTTGAGACCACGAGACTTCTGAAATTCATATCAAAGTTCATATTTATTCTCTTCTAAAGATTGACCTGAAAAGACTTTGCTAGTGTAGCCTCTTTGGGACTAAAATGTCAAGCTTACATGTCTTATTTAGCTTCATTATACTAATACAAAATACGCAAAGTGTTAAACCTTCTAAAAGATGATAGTGCTTTTCCAACGACAATCGATTGTCAGCAAACTTTATGTGTTTTTTTGTTTCTATATTTCGAACAGAAATTTAGTTTATTTGGTTTTTGCCTAGAGTTTTTTTTATTGGTCTTGTTGATATTCTCTTGGAATTTATTTTCTTATTATTATTTATTATTGTTAGTCTAATTATTGATTCAATGGAAAAATAAGCCCATTGTAAACATTCGTTATATCACCAGCAGGTCTTAACGATTTATTTTGAATCTCAATGAATTCAGATACACTGATATTGATTATTTCAGAACGTTAGGACTTAATCAGCTCATGCTTTTGTATTGGTCATATGACAGTTTTGATAACTCAAAACATCATTCTTGATATCCAGCTATGTTCAAATAGAAAAAAATTATAATTTTTTATATTTCTCCTACATATTTGACTCCAAAACTAGATATTTCTGGTCCTTTAACTAAGAATGTGGTACTGTAGACAGTAAATTGTATAAAACTTTATATTTCATAAAAGAAACTATACATATAGAGAATGATAAGCATGAATGCCGAGTTAGGCAGTCATAATCGGTGACACTTGTACGACAAACATAGAAGAAATCTTGATTTTTAGCTATAAAATGTATATTAAAGAGCTATAGGATTCCTATCGACGCTTTCCAAAACCTATATTTGTTCTTTCTCTCTACATTTATAATCTCAAAGTCAACATTTATGGTCTTAATGTTGACTAAAAACTGGACCATAATAAGATCCATAATGTAACTCATAACTGTAGAATTAGATGGTTATAATTGGCAACTATTGAAGCGTAGATGTAGAAAAAAGCATGATGCTTAGCTGTAAATGTTTCACAATTGACTATAGAATACTCGTAGGACTTTTTTCAGACCCTCTGCATTAATATTTTTTGTTTACATTTATGATCTGAGCAATACTATTGATGACTTGCAAATATAACATTTGTAGTGTTATCTCGACATTTTTATTCAGTAGTGAATAAACGCGCTGCAATAATTCGCTATTGAAGGCATAAAGGTGAGATGGTGGTAGTAGTAAATGGTATTATTAGGCTCATGAACATACAAGAAAAACAAATATAGAGGTATTTTAAAAATTCCATAAGTATATTGCAGCTATTAATCAACCATCTATACTTAATGTGCATGGTTTTCGCTATTTTCTGCCTTTATGTATAAAGAGTGTTCATTTCTGTCCATTTAATTCCTCATTTATGATTTTTCTTATCAGCTTCAGTATAAGTGAAATCTTACTTAAGATTAGGAGCACAAATACTCAATTGATCGCACTCTGTTAAGAAGTTTTGATCACTTCCCTATAAGGCCAAACATATTAATAAAACTGTTGAATCATTGTACTGGAGGAAGAAATCCAAATTTAGATATATGAAGAGAGAAAAAAATACCTTGTGTGCTTGGCTAATAATTTGAGGCCTGTTTCATTTCGGACGATATATTTATCAATCGTTTTACCTAAAATATAAAAGAAAGTGGACCATGCATAAGTGTTGAAATGTAAGTATGGGTATAGGTGTGTCAGTGAAAAAGCGGCACATACCCACATCTCCAATCGCACCCACGCCAACATTCAACTTGTTGATAATCGACTAGATAGTTCTCATTTGATCAAAGTCATCGAAAAATGTATTAAAAAGCATAATAAGTTTTTCTTTGTTGTTCTACTTTGACAAGGTAGGATAAATCGACATTAAACATGTTACAACAGGAGAGCTACGTAGATTCTGTCATAATATTCTGTTATAGTAAATGCGTCAAAATCACTTGAATGAGAATATTGAACGAGAAAGAATAATAGAGCACTTACTTTCTTCTAAAAGAAAAACATGAATTGATAAGTGTGATCTATCGTTCATTTTACTTTCGTTCTCTAGAATTTTATTGAGCTCGTCGTGCCCAACGAAAAAATAGATCTATTCCTTAATCTGACTTGATGACAAACGTATGGAACAATGAAGCTAGAATTCATTAATGAGATATATAATCTTCGTCAAAATCTTCCATGAATGACTCAACAGATCATGACACTTTCTATTTCATGATAAAAGCATCGAAATTCAACATCGGGAAAGGTGGTGTAGATTTCCTTTTCATCCACACGCTCAATGTATACTATATTCAAGTTATTTCGGATCAATTAGAAAATAAATAAAAATTAATTGATACAGCAGTATCAGAGTCAACGTCAGTTACCATCTTTATCAATTAACCTAGTCTTTTATCAAAAGGGTTGAAATCGAGTGTCTTATCTTATTAGAATCATTGGATTTCGAGTTTCAAATACAACCTATGCAGATATTTTTCGATTTTGCTTGATTATTGAGAAACTTTTTTTTAAAATTTCAATGATAAAATCTTACAGAGTTTTCAAAAATGCGTGAGTATTTTGCAGCCTTTTTCACCATAATTAAAGTTTAAACCAAGATAAATACCATGTTCAGAATCCACACAACAACTTACGTCATATCTGAAGCATTTCAGCTGAGAAACTTTTCATAAAAAAGTATAGCTGGGGATATGTAATTTCAGTTTGCGGGTCACAGACGTCACCAACTCAGTGTAGTAACGTAATATGGGAGCAGCCCCTTACACCATCATTTCAAATCTCTAAATTCACCTCTAGTAGATTACAAAGAAAATTTATCAAAAACAATGCTGAAAACCCACATATACATTTTTGCATTGATCACATCTATGTGGTTGATTTTACTTCGAAATTGAATGATGATAATGATGAAAATCGCTATGCTAGATCGCATGCTAGACAAGTTTGCCTAATTTTGCCACTATAGTAAGGAGAATTTAATTCTTCTATAGAATAAAACAAAATTTAAGAAAAACTCAAAAAATGTTTTCAGATATCTTCATCTAGCAATTCTAAGAAGATAACACATTATTTCTTGTTTTTCTTCGCACAAGTTTAAATGGACTTACACAAGCGGATCAAAAGAAGATCTGACACATTCACATTCTCATTCTAAAAGAACCTTCATTTCTTCTGTTGCTATCGGTGACATTAGTCTCTGCTCCGAGTAAGCCACCAGATAGTGAAACGATATTAAATTTTATCGAAAATAGTACGAAAAAGCTCTTACGAAAATAACGATTGTTTTGTATTACAGGTGCTTCGAAAACGACTGATGTTGGCACTGACAAAACAAAAGAAAAGACACATGCCAGCAAACTTCAAGTAATTTAAAAATTCGTTAGTGTTCGTTCGAGAAAATGGATATTTATCAAATATCTTATGCTTTTAGATGTCGACTATGAAAGTCAATCCTCGAATAAATAGAGGTAGGATATCCTTGATTGTTGTCTTCGAAATGAGCGTGATTATTGATCATTCGAATTATTTGATTAAAATCACTGTTATTTGTTAGATACACTGAGCACATTGAAAAAATTCTCAGATCATATGATTACTTGTCGGAGAATTTTTCTCGCATGCGTAGTTGCTCTATTTTTTGGAATATATATCACAATTCAGCCATAGACTCGAAACGTATGGCGACTATCAGAATAAGATTTTTGTTCCCTTTGTATTTCTATCACGACATCTCGGTGAAAACATATGAATATGTTTTAAATTAAAAAAATGCAACCAATCGGTGCTTTAAGAAAATGTTGTGCTCTCACATTATCTCGAGTAAGGAATACAACACGAACCATTGACTTTCCACATAGTTGACGGAATCATTTATGGAAATGTCTCCTCAAAGTGAATGAAGTTATAAGAAACTCATCATGTAATTGAACACCAAGTCAAAGTCAAAAATAAAATATGTATGATTTTGTGATCACTCTAAGGGCATCTCGTAATGAATAAGAGATTTGTTTTTCTTTCACTTTCTACAGGACACTATCGTAGATACAGTCGTTTTGACATCGAATAACTATTGTACATATAAGAGTTGTTCGACGATGGATTTTTCTTGTAAAAGCTATCTTGTTCTCGCAGACTGGCTATGCTTAACCTTCAGCATTATCCAATGATGAAACTTTCTTAAAACCATGCAAACAGAACAAGCATTCTTCCTTATATTTTCATTTTGGTTTGTGTAGCGAAAAAGGCTAGAACAGAAGAAAGTATGATTACAAATCAGCGCTTCCCAACCGATGGAGTATGTCGTCTCAGAAGTGTCATGATCTAGATAGACTACATTTACATGTTGTATATGAAGCTGTATTTAGTTTTTCTTGTTGCTTGGAATCAATCATCTTCTGTTCTGTATATATATTTCTTTTTCTTAGAGATTTAAGTAATGGACAACTCACATCTGTATGAACTTAAAATGCGATAATGAAAACTTCAAGTTTCATTGATTATTTGAGTGCTCGAAGTGATTTAGATTCTTCATAAGTATAGTATATGTATAGTTCGTTGAGTTTCATTGCTTGCTCTATTTCTGTGAATTTCTACAAGTTTTTGCCTACCAACAGATTCTTGAGTTTCATAGTTTCGTCTATTTCAATGAGCTCCTGAACTTCATTGAATTTCGTATAGTTCGCACAGTTACTAAAGTTATTTCCTAGTATCTATGCTATGTATTGTAGATATATTATCCTTAGGAGAAAAGCAGTTATGCATTGACAATGTCTTTGACAATACATAGAATTTTTTAAAGTAAAAATGATTATAATTTTGATTTATTTATAAAGATTAGCGTTTGTGAATCCCACACTTAAGTTCCTTAAGAGACCACACTCACAAGTTTTTAAATATCATATTAATGTGAGTAGAAATTTATTCAACTGTGAAGCTTTGCTCTATTTGATAACATATCTTACTATGTTTCATGTCATTTATTGTTCGTTCAGTGTTTTGTTATGTTGTATGCTTTATCCGTCCTCTTGCAACGCAAAGCTCTGCACTTTTTCGTACTTTTTATCAGTCTCTTTTTTGGTCAAACATATAATGATCGCTTCATGTTTCCATTAAGGTTTCAATAGAAAAGATTATAGAATTATTTCTTGAATAAAAAATATATATCTATATTGACATTTTGGAGCGTACCTCCGATTATCGAAAGATCATGTTTCTTTTGAAAGTTATAAATTCATATTTTTGTTATATGTTAACTTTTACCATTATAATTTCTATGATTATTTGGGTGTGGGTGCGGGTCTATTTATCTGCACCAACACCTACACCCCACACCCACAGCTAGGCAGATAATTGTTTTTGTAATTGAGAGCAGGGCTGTACTGTTCAAAACAAATGAGTGACTCATTTCAATGAAATCGATGTTTATTTCTTCTCGATACTTTTACTTCATTTCAGCACCACCATTACGTGCGAGTGCGATTGAAATTCAACCGAATGAAAAATGGATAAAGCATGGTCTCACTATCGCTGGAGGAAATGGACAAGGCAGTGGAATCAATCAGTTCCATTGGCCATGGGGTTTGTATGTCGATGATGATCAAACTACTTATGTCGTTGATCAGGATAATCACCGCATTGTGCAATGGAAATGTGATGGAACGAATATCCAAGTTGTTGCCGGTGGAAATGGAAGTGGAAATGGAGCTCATCAGTTAAGTTACCCATTTGATGTGATTATTGACAAAGAGAGAGATAGTCTCATTATATCCGATTATTCGAATAAAAGAGTAGTTCGTTGGCCTCGTCGAAATGGTACTAGTGGAGAAACTATCATCTCAAACATCTGTTGTATAGGTTTGACAATGGATGAGAATGGATCTCTCTATGTCGTTGACAATGAAAAACATGAAGTTAGACGATATGGAATTGGTGATACTGAAGGAACAGTGGTTGCAGGTGGCAATAGACAAGGAAATCATCTTGATCAACTCTCCAATCCCCGCTACGTATTTGTCGATCAAGATCATTCAGTGTACGTATCCGAGGAGAGAAATAATCGTGTAATGAAATGGGAAGAAGGTGGAAAACAAGGTATTGTCGTAGCTGGTGGTCAAGGACAAGGAAATGGTCTTAACCAACTGAGTCGTCCTTTTGGAGTCGTTGTCGATCAATTGGGTACTGTCTATGTGGCTGATTACGGAAATCATCGAGTCATGCGTTGGCCAAAAGGTGCCTCACAGGGAAGTGTCATAGCTGGTGGAAACGGTTCAGGAGCACAGTCGAATCAACTCAGTTGTCCTATTGGTTTATCATTTGATCGACATGGCAATCTCTATGTCGTCGATCAGAACCAACATCGAGTACAGAAATTTAATATCGAATGAATTCAATACGATGATTCATTTTTTTTTGTACGGTTTTCTTTCTCTTACGAACAAGTCGTGATTGTATAAAAAGGAATTCACGGTTATTCTATTCGCATCTCTCCCACTCAAGAGATATGTCAATGAGTCTGGGGATCCAGTCGTGTGCCACGTGCACCAAAGCAGTTTCTGGTCGAGCTTTTAAGAACTGATCGGAAGTTCTTCAGGTAACAGGTATCTCGTCCCTTCTCTCACCCTATTCTCATTCTCAAAAAAAAAACATGATTACTCACTCGCTTTTGATGTTAAGCGATGATGATGTTGTTGTCGATGACAACACGATGTGATGACATTGAGGTCTAACAGGAATAGAAAAAAATTTCATTAATGATCTTTGCAGAGAAAAGAACAGGATAAATTACCTCATTGCTATCTTGTGCATTTTTCAATAGCTGAAATAGAAAAAAAACCGTACATTAAAAGAATCCGAGGTGGACTTACGGTCATTATCATAATCTTAAAGAAGAAAAAAAAGTAAAAACTGATACCTGTATTCTTTTTTGTATTGCTTGATATTGAATTCTTTCATATTGTATTGTTGATGTTGGCTTAAAATATAAGAGAAAATTGTTATTATTTGATTCAAATAATTTCAAGCATTAATCGTCACGCACACATCCATTGAGATAAATGTAATCGCAATATGTCCATATGTATGTGTGTGGATAAAGTTTAATTATTTGCCACACTAATTATATGTTTGGTCATTGATGTGGGTGTGGATAGCAATGAAGAAAACTCTTACACCCACACCCACACTCACACTCACATCCCGCAAACTGGAGCATGTTCTGAAATATTTTTTTAACACGAAGCAGCTTCGATTTCAATACTTTCACGTCATGATTCAAGGAGTGAGTGCTTTCTGAATTTTTGTTATCATTTGCGAGACTATCAAACTTTCGACTTCGATGAAATTTCAAATTAACCAAAAAATTACATCGTGGTCATCGTTCTTGTTTTAGGGGTATGAATGTGGGCGAAGACGAGGCCCAAATCTGCACCCACATCCTACCTCACCCCCGAGCCGAAAAGAACTCAATTCTATCAGTTTCAATAGATTTCAAAAATTATCATGCGTTTTGATACAACACTTTCAAAAAACAACCGCCGCTACAGCGCACATTATATACCGATCGGTATACCTGCAGTAGTTTTCACATGGGTAATTTACATCAATTCTGTATAAAGCTACGGGTCCTTTCAGACCTGAATTCGACCGGGTCGAAAGTTTAATTAATTGTTAGATCAACGCCTAGTCAGAGAAATTTAGTTTTTCTTGAGTTCTGGACCACAAAAACGTAGATCCGCAGCTCTCTATAACTCCAACTCCGATTCCGATGTAGAACTGTAGTTCCAGCAAGATCTATCCTCATTGTCATTGCAATTGCCAAATATGTTATATTTCTTTGAAATTCGTTCTTGCATGAAATGAGTCGACACGGTCTGTATACGATCAGTGTCAAGAATTTATTCACTATCTTGAAAAGGAAAAGTCTTTTGAAGAAATCAATAGGAAAATTTTATTTTGAAAGTAAAAATAAAAAATAAATTCAATTAAAAATGTCAATATCTAATTGCCATTCATTTGTTCCTGCAGAAGTACGTTTTCATATAACTTGATAATTTCCCTTATCTAATGAATGTTGATATGAACCTGTTTAAATTAATCGATCATCTTCTGCTTCTATAACAGTTTCTGTTGTTAAATCTAAGTTATCCACATCAGCATCTCGTATACCTGGCAAAATTTAAAAAAATTTTTCACGTCCTTCATATTTATTTTTATTAGATAGTAAAACTTTTCCTTCGGATGTATAAAGATTAACTAATTCATCAAGTTTACCAGCATTAAAAAGTTCTTCATAGCGACGATTAGCAACAATAATTGTGTCAAATGATGTTGACATGATGACTATAACAAGTTTTTTGCTATCAATATTATTACAAAGTAGTAACAAACTTATTGATATCTCTTCTAATAAGAATAAACTTTATTTTGAAGTTAAATTAAAAGATAAGAAGATTTTTACTTTGATTCAAATAAGTATGGAGCTTGGTGTGGGCGTGGGTGTAGGTGTGCAGTGTGGATGAATATGAGTGTGGGCAAGGGCGTTCTTTTTATCGACACTCACACCTACATCCATCCAAAACAGCGAATCGTTGCAGGATCCTTATCATATATGTCAAGGATCTGACACTGATACATGAAAAATTTTCCCTTGGGATATATATAATATACGGGTGAATGATGATACAACATGAGAAGCACATTACGGCAGAAACACAATGAAGTTCAATCATGCATAGATAAGCGTAAGAGTAACGCGATTATGCAAACTAGGTAATATCGATTGTATAACGACATATAGAGAAAGGAAAGATATACATAAGATGGGTGTGGGTGTGAGTGTGATTGTCAGTTGAGAAGAAGACACCCACACCCACCCACACCCACTTCCCTATACTGTGGAGGAGATTCACAATATTGCATGCAATTTTCATAGGCTTCAACAGTCTTAGGGTATAAATTACTTCCACTAAAGTCATTCGGCATTTTGTTAGTAAAACTATTTGAACAGTCAAAAATGTTTTTCCTAGTGTTTCTCTTGATACTCAATCAAGTTTGTTTAAATAAAACTTGCTCAAAAAGGAATCCCAATGACTTTAATATCGCTCTACAGTTTGTTAGTAAAACCGAATTTTCTCTCGAACGAAGAGAGATTTTTGCTTGAAATTTTGAGATAGTCTCTACTCTTTGAGGTAAAAAAGGATCAAATTATTGTTGCAAACGATTCAGTTTTCATTGAGTTATAGAAATGGCAAAATTGAAAATGTCGCTCTACCTTTAGCGTGAACACAATTCCTTTTAACTTCTCATCAAATTTTTCTGTTAACGAAGTTTATCAGAAAAATTTCTTTTTCATGTCAAAGTACTTTTGCCCTAGTTCTCGTTGATGCCCAATCAAATTTATTCAAACGAAATAACAATGATATCAATCTCGCTCTACACAAAAATTCAAAGTGTCTTAACGTGCATTGTTGATAGCTTTTGATTCATAGAACTTTGCCTAAAGCAAAAAGTAATAATATATTCTGAAAGCGTTTGGCGAGCTCTACATTTCTAGCTAAAAAAGGAATTTAAAAAGAATTGCAATGGGATAACGAAAAACTGACCTTATTTCAGCATGTGGCGTTAGAAGCTAGCAGTTTTACATTGTTGCTATGATATCTCATAAGCTGAAAGAGATGAAAGGCTGATTTTTTCAGAAGTTAATGTGGACCTCTACATCTATAAAATTTGTAAAAAATTTCAAAATCGGTTGATTAAAATTGGACTTATAGGCATTTTTCTTTGTAAGATCCAACGGTAAAATGGGCACGCTCTTCACCCATATATATATATATATACAGGATGATCCAAAAGTTCTCGGAACCACCATCTATTTTCTCTGTTAGACTTGATGGGGGGATCTTTTTTTAATATTTGAATAGCACTAGGATTGGACTATTAACCGAGAAGATTAAACACTTTTCATTTGCTTTTACTGAATCAGAGGCTTATTTTTTCTGAATGCTGTATTATTAGATGGATAAAACAAATATTCGGTTATATATTTTTACAAGATTCAAACTTGGCTTTAACGCAACACAAATTCATGAAGAATTGTGTGATGCTTGGGGTGATGGTTGTGTATCTTATACCACAGTAGCCGAATGGATTCATCGCTTTAAACAAGGTAGAACTTCTTTAGACAATGATCCAAGAATCGGTCGATCCGTAACCGAAGCTACTGATAAAAATATTGAAGTTATTCGTGCATTAATTGATGAAAATCCACATATTAGCATTCGATATATAGCTTTTGAGACTGGATTGTCATATGGTAATATTAACAGAATTATTCATGATGAATTAAAATTGAAATAGTTATGCACAAGATGGGTACTACATGAATTAACAGAAAAATACAAGCAACAGCGAATGGAAATTTGTCAAGAAAATCTTGCAAAATTAGAGTCCGATCAATGGCGTTTATGCGACATTGTCACTGGTAATGAAACCTGGATATATCACCGTAGTATTGGAACAAAACAATCCAATATGGCATGGTGTTCTGAAGGTGCAAGTCCGCCAACAGTGGCCAAACAAAACCAATCTGATCAGAAAAACATGTTCGTGATTTTCTTTAGAACAACGGGACCGGAGTTAATTCACATGGTTGAATCCGGCAACTCAATATCTGGTACTTACTACAAAGAAAATTACCTTGAATCTTTATTTAAAAATATCCGACGACAAAGACCAAAATCTGGTTTGCATGCCATCAAATTGCATCATGACAATGCAAAACCACATCATACAAAAGATATTAAAACATTTCTTCAAGAAGTAGGAGTGATGGTAATGCCTCATCCCCCTTATTCACCTGACTTGGCACCATCAGACTTTTGGTTACTTAAAGCAGCAATTAAACAGTTATTCCGATTCCAAAAGTTTACAACAAGCTGTAACCAAGGCCATCGTGCTATATCACAAGATGAATTTCGAAAGGTATTTAACCATTGGGTTGAGCGAATGAAACTTTGCATAGCAAACAAGGGTGACTACTTCGAACATTTAATGAAATAAGTTTTTTATAAAGATCATTTATTCAATAAAAACTTAGGTGTTCCGGGAACTTTTGGATCACCCTGTATATCAACTTTTTGATGAGCATCCATAAGCAATAAGTTGCATATATTCACAACTCAAGTTGCATCATGTCGCTCTTCTTATTTTGTTTCTTTGCTATTGTTTCTCTTTCATTGTCGTGAGTAAAGCAACTCCGCAATTGAATGATAGCGTTTGATATTTTTATGGTTTAACCTATTCTATTTGAATCCTTTGAAAAGCTCAATACTGCACCAGGAGCACCTTTAAGTATTATTGTTGCAATGATGTCTACTGCAACAGTATTGAAGGTAACTAAAACTACTAGTTAATCAGCACTATTGCTTAATACTATTTATCAACCTTGGTAGGCTTCCTTCAATATTATTTAAAGTGTTCTTTTATCAGGTAGATTTGTTGACAATTGCTGATATAATAAGTATTACACATGTATCGAGTAACTTTGAATACAAAGTAAGTGATCCATTGCATTTAAGAAGCAACACGCAATAGAATTGCTTGC